TATAATAAAAATAATTATAAATTAAAATTAAGATAACTAAATATATTAATTAAAATTAAAAAAATATAAATTATAATATTTAAAATACGATTAAAATATATAATCATATTATTTTTTTTTAAAAAAAGGACAAATTATATTGTACAAACAAAAATAAAAAATAGAGAGAAATTATGTAAGACAATAGAAATATACTTTTATACAACCAACCAAATATAATTTAAATATAAATCTATATACAATATTAAAAAATGGATATAATGTTTTCTTTTTGTTGGGTTGGAATGTATAAAGATAAAAATTGAAATTCAATAAAAAAATGTGATTTTAAAGTATTAAGGGATACTTAGTATTAAAAAAAATTCTTCATTGGCCGAATTTTAAAATTTCAAGTACTTCAAATTTCATTATCTATTTTGTAACAAAATATATATTCATTAGAATTTTAAAATCCAAATACTCTTTCCGTCTCATATTTATATATCCATTTGCTTTTTGCACGGAGTTTTAGAAATATTAGGATAAAGTAGAAATAAAGGTAAAAAAACTAAATTAACCCTATTAGTATTGTATGATATAAATATAATGACATTTGTGTAATATATTATAAATTGGAAGAGTATTTATAATGTTAAGTAGACAGTACAATTACGAAAATAAATATATTGTTATGAGACTGACCAAAATAAAATAATGAATAGATTGTTAAGAACACGGGGAGTATTATAGAATTCTACCAAATCCGTGAACAAAATGTCTTGCATCATTCTTTTCCTTTTTTTTTCTTTGTATATTTATGTCTCATCAAATTTCTTTGATATTTATATACTTTTGTTCTGTTTTTTATTGTTTACCTTAAATGAACTGTTCACTAAATTTTAAGAATTGATTTACTTTTTACACCAAAGAAAAAAAAAAAAAAAAAAGGGTAAAAATGTCATTACTTTATTTTTAATTACCTATTATAGTTAAAATAGTATCATTTCTTAAATTTGATACAAAAAGTAAATATTTACTTTGTAGTTGGACGAAGATAGTATATAATAGGTGTGTAGATTGGTGCTTAATCATACTATGCAAGACCGTCCAGATTTTAGGATATATATATATATATACACATAGAGATTGTTCGTACACTGAACAAAATTATTTACCATAATGCGGAAAATATCTTAAATATTAATAGAAACATATATAATACTCCCTCTGTCCCAAAAGAGTTGTCTTATTTTTCTATTTTCGTCCGTCCCAAAATAATTGTCTTGTTTCCTTATTTAGTAATCATGGTCCGCACTTTATAACAAAATTATTCGTACTTTTCCAAACTACCTCTAATTATTACTATAACATACTCTTTAAAATCCTTAAAAAAGCAATGACATTTTAGTCATTTACATTCTACATTATACCCTCTTTTAATTAAATACTATTATTCCTTAATTCTAGTGCTAACTTCCCATAAGACATCTCTTTTGGTACGGAGGGAGTATGAATTAATAATACTCGGTCCATCATATTTAGCCCATTTGGACTCAACATGTTAATTAAAAAAAATATATTTTATTAAAAACGTGAGAAAAGTAAAAAGATAGTTGGTGGTATTTTCGAAATTTAGTTAGTAATAATAAGGAAAGAGAACATAATAAAGTCAGTGGAATTTGTGGTAAATAAATATTGAATAAAAATAACAATTAAATATAGACCTTTTGACTTTTCCAAATATAGTAATTGGATAAATTTAAAGGACAGACGAAAAAAAAAAAGTGAAAATAAATTTAGCAGACAAATGAAATATAAAGTTTATATTAATGAATTACAAATACAACACATATATTTATAATACATAATAATAACCTACACAATATATGTTACTATTAATTTTAGCACATGATATAAATATGAACTTACTTTTGAATTGGTATCAATATAGATTATAATGAATTTACTTTTGAATTGGTATCCTCCACATGTAGGTTGGTTATACCCGAACAAGGTCAATAAACTCATGTGTTATTTATTGCTTGAATGCACCTGCATTTATTTCGTTGACACTGAGTCGCAATTACCTGGGGTAGGATTTGAAAGTACTTCGTACTTACTTTTGTTTCGTCAAGTGTGGATCATTACACCGCTATATATTTACTCGGGGAGTTGTCCCTTATCTGGCGGTTCGTAAGGAGTTGATCGAACCCAATTATCCTAACAAAATGTACTATTTTCTTCTTTTTATGTGTCAACTAATTGATTTACCAAAATCTAAATATGATAATCAATCTTATATATCTCTTCGATTACCTAACTGATTGGGATAAATCAACACTAATTAACAAATTTTCATAAAGAAAATAAAAATTTTTTGATATAGAATATAACACATATTCGAATAACACGTTATATAATTATATATTAAAAAATATATTTTGATTTTAGAAAAATATATTTTAATTTCAACACCATAGTAATTTGATCGTATCAACAAATATCTATACAAAAGTAACAAATATTAATATAATATATAACAATATATTATATAAAACAATATATGTTATTTGTCATATGACGATTTGCTATTATTTCAAATTGATGTGCTAACTTAGTAATGTGTTATATATCGAGTGATAATTTGCTAATTTCTTCATATTAATTTGCTATGACCAAATCAATACCCTAACCGCTGATATATGATATATATATATTCTTCCGTAACGGTCTATAAAATGTCTTGAACCAGCCTATTTTTCTCACTGTTTTGAACATTTTGGTATGTTTAAACAAGGAATTTGAATTTATACATAAGTTTTAAAGTGAATTTTTTATTTAAAAAAATGTTTCATGCAACATGTAAAATAAATACGTATTTTATATATAATATTTTAAAATAAATATTAAATATAATATATTTAACTTTTTTCAAATAAACATAACCCAAAAATATAATTGAAATACAAAGGAACACACTTTGTGAATAAGATAATTACATTTTATGTTATTTGGGAGTAGAGATAAGGTATAAATTAATTTCTAATGTAATGGTATTAGTCTAAATAAGTATAAGTTTGAGAGTATTAATAATGAATAGCTTGATTGAATTTATTAAAAATGAAATTTATATACTTTCTTCATTCCACTTAAGTATTCTTTTGCGATTTTGCAGTAGATTAAGACAAATAATAATATTTTATTAGTGAGTAGGAATATGTAAAATATTTTTATCCTTTAATTTTATGTATATATAATTTTGATAACATGAGAACTCGCGTTCACTACTCTCAAAGTGCGCTCTTGATAACTTCCAACCAAATCTAATAACTTGCAAATTAAGTCCGATAAGACAAGTTATATTAGGCGAATCATGTGTGACAGATAAGACCCGTAGGCGTCAGAATAAACAAAAGTTGGGTAAAAGGAAGGAATATAACAAATTATGTTCAAACAAAAGTTTCAACTCATTTTATAATTAACAATTTTGAGCTTTTATTATTTTATCATTTCAAATTCAAAGTAACGTTATTAATTCTACACAATTTTCAATAAATCATATTATTTCTTTTTCATAAAAATTACATCAAAATAATATTTAAACGAATTCAAATTAATACAAAATTTCAAATCAACTTTAAATTACAATCAAACCAACTCTTAATTACAAAAAAAGAATACGAAAAAAGAGGACATGTTTTCCCGTGTTTTGATTTATTATTCATTTTTCGTACACAATATCTCAAGACTCAAATAACTATTTTTATACTTCTTCCGTCTCACTTTTCATGTCCATCTTTTCATTTCTGTCCGTCCATTTATTTTGTCACTTTTCTTTTTTGGAAAATAATTATACACTTTAATCTTATTTTTAAAAATTTTATAATTTTTTAAATTTTAATTATACTAATCAATTATCTTAATCTTAATCTATAATTATTTTTATTATACGATAATTATTTTCACTAATATATTTTTAATTATTTACTAATTATACTCCTCCTAAATTCCCGTGTCTACAGTAACGCTGACAAAATATTCGAGACGGAGGGAGTATAAAATAATATAAAATAAAAACAAAACACAAAATACAAAACCCAAAAGCTTCCTTGATGATATTCCTACTATGAAAAGTAAAAAGAATTAGTAACAATACATCGACTCACAATCAATTAACTATGAATAAGTATTAAGGCTCGAATTAAAGAAAAGTTTTTTAAGTTAATGTTTGTTTATTTATTTATTTAAGTTTTAAAAAAAAATTAAAAAAATTAGTTTTTGATATTATATTATATAAAAAAAATATATATTATTAATTAATAGTACTGAAATTTTAAAAAATATCCATGTAAATAGTATAAATATGCTTATGGATCTATTTTACCAAAACGTGAAGATACAACTTATACATCCAACACTATGGTTGTTACATCAGACGTGCATTCTAGGTCAAGAAATACCCACATATATATATATATATATTATACATACAACATTATTATTATTATTATTATTATTATTATTATTATTATTATTATTATTAAAACTATAGTTAATATCATATCTAGAGACACATGGATGATGCCTGTAAAAAAAAAAAAAGAATGTTGAAAGAAAGCATAATTATATAATTAGGAGTGACTGAGAAGAAAAGAAAGGGAAGAGTTGTTGGTATGGGAGAGGAAAATTAGTGAAGAAGATTCTTTGATGTTAGTGTAGTAGATCGATCATACATATATAGATTGTGTCATACACTTTTAAATATTGCTTCTAATAATTATTTATTTTTTTATTACAATAAAAACAATATATATATATATATATAAATAATAAAAATATCTCTAATTTTTACACAAACATAAAAAAAAAAATATCGAAATTTTAAGTTGGAACAAAAAGAATATTTTTTATTCTAAATTTAAATAACCCCACTCCAAAACGTATACAAAGCCTCCTCTTGGAATTGCCCCTCAACTTGAAAAGTTCTCTCTCTCTCTCTCTATATATATATATATATATATATATATCTTCCAAGATTTTTTAATTTGATTGAAATGGGAAGTAGAGGTGGTGAGAAAATAGGGTTTGGAATGGCAATGGCTTTGTTTGTTGTGGTATTCTTACAAACATCAGATCAGCTGTTGGCCATTAATTTAGACATAAACAACACAAGATACAGAAGATCAGTTAGCAGGTTGAGACTAGCCAGGATTCACAAGCATTTGGACAAGATTAACAAACCTTCCCTCCTCACCATTCAGGTATATATATATATATATATATACAAACATGGCAAAATAAATTTATATATATATATATCAAGGGATAAATATTTTTTAGGACCAACACTTTTTATTATTGAAATATTTCAGTACATATGCCAATATTCTTGTTGTGGAGAATTTTTTCATCGGCTGCAAATTAGATATAAAGTTATTTTTCTACGGCTGTAAACACGCGGAACTAAAAAGAAAAATATTTATGTCCGTATATTAATGTTGTCGGGAGAAAATTGCATCATATTATCACATTTGTCCTATATTTATCTCAACAAAATATATCTTATGTCATTTAGTCGTGCGTGACATTCACACCATGCGCGGTCACGCATGGCCAAAGGATATAAATAGCGAGTTTTATAAACATTTGAAATATATTTTGCGAGATAAATACATGATAAAAGTAATAATAAAGTATACATGAGGATAATTTTTGCAATTTTCACATGTTGTCGGATGTGCAGAATTGCCGCTTCACCTAAAAGCTCAGGCTATTAGGGAAACATATCATTAATTTATTTATCTGCAAATGGGAATCCCCAACCATTCCCACAGGTGCATGTGGAGTTATGTGAAACTTGCACATGCATATGCGAAATGGGAACGACGAGACTCGAACTCGAGACCTAGGGCTCTGATACCATGTGGGACGAATAAATAAATTAATGATGCGTTTTTCTAACAGTTTAAGTTTTTAAGTGAGACGGTCATTTTGCGTATCCGACAAATGCAATCCAACGGTGTGTCTACTTGTGAAGTTTTGGTCTTGAGTTTTGATTTTGAATAGTAAAATTTTGAATTGAAATAATTGTTTGATATGATATAAATATGTATTAATGAGATATTTTGAATGTAAAATTAGATTTTAGTGTAATAAAATAAATAAAAATTGATATTTAATTTGATATTTTTTTTTAAAAAAAAAACTAAAAATAATAAAATCACATGTAAAATTTCGCAAGTAAACAGAGCCCAGTTTACCGTAATTAATTTGTTTTGCAGAGCCCAGATGGAGACATCATAGACTGTGTCCACAAGAGAAAACAGCCTGCATTCGATCACCCCCTTTTGAAAAATCACAAGATTCAGGCAAGTAGTATACACACAATTATCAATTTATTAAAATTAACTTATATATGTATTGCAAGAAATTAAATTAAATTTAATTAATTGAAGTGCAGAGAGTTCCCCCAGCAATGCCAAAGGCCATGGAAAGAGCCACAATAAATAATGAAAGTAGCACAAATATTATTACAAGCCAAGGATGGCACCAAACTGGGCAGTCCTGTCCGAAGGGAACAGTGCCCATCCGGCGCACCACCGTCGGCGACGTGCTCCGAGCTAAGTCGCTCTACCATTTCGGCAAGAAACGGACAGTCGCAAAGTTTGATCCTCAACCAGCTCGACACCGTCCCCCGGACATCGGCAGCAACACCGGTCATGAGGTATATATATATATATATAATCGTATGTTAATAATATTATATAGTGTCTCCTTTAACCATTGAATTTATATAAATTATATATTTATATCCCATCAAATAATTATTACAATTATTTTTTTATATTTTTAAAATATATATCAAAGTACCTTAACTCAACTACATAAATCCAATATCATCTTGACACATTATTTTTATTGAATTAATAAATTTATACATATTTAAAACATGAATGTAGACTATATACCATTTACTCCTCCCGTCTCATATAATTCGTCCCTATTTTATATTTTCATCCGTCTCACGTAACTTGTCATTTTCTTTTTTACAAATATGATTATCCACTTTAATTACATTTTAAGTTTTAAATTTTATAATTTTTTTAATCTTAGTTAAACTATTTACTTATCTTAATCTTAATCTATAATTATTTTTACTAATACACTTCTTAATTACCTACTAATTATACTTTACCTAAATTTTCGTATTTACAGTGACACAACCAAAATATATAGTACGGAGGAAGTATAAAACTACTTTTAATAAAAAGTAAAGACAATATTAAAGTCATTATTAAAATTATATTATTTAAAAAAACGCGTCAAAAGTAAAAATAATGAGACAAAAAGTGTATTTCTACTTTAATTTTAAGTGCTGAAAAAAATTAAGAAAGTTAATATACAGCGAAAAAAGATGTGCTTTTAAATTTTTATTGTGAGTTTATGAAGTCGTGATTTTGGTTTTTGGTTTCTATTAAGCATGCGATTGCTTACACGAGAGCGCCGGAAGAGATATACGGTGCCAAAGCGACAATGAATGTGTGGGAGCCGTCGATACAAGTGTCGAGCGAGTTCAGCCTATCACAGATTTGGGTATTGTCCGGCTCTTTCGATGGCTCAGATCTCAACAGCATCGAAGCCGGCTGGCAGGTACTCAGCTAGCTACCTCAACTTTCTTTATGACATATACTTATGATCTTATTTTCGTATGTTATATTAAAAAATATCTGTTTTTTTTTTTTAAATAAAAGTAATCATACATTAACATCAAAATAACATAGTTTTTATCTAAATTACAAATATACAATTACACATATTACACGAAAAAGTGAAAGAACAAAAATGTCAAAATATTTTGCACATTTTCATTAACTAATAAAATACTACTCCCTCCATCCATTACTAAACTTCTAATTTTCCATTTTAGTTTGTCCAAATCAAAACTTTCTATTTTTTTTTAAAAAAATAACTTTCAACTTAATACTAAAATATTCATACTTTTTTACTTTTCACATTACTTTTTAAGGGTAAAATAAACATCACATTACTTTTAACACTATATATCTATAAAATACTAGTTTTCTTAATCCGCGTGCAAAAGTCAAATAAAAAGATTATCATCAGATGGAAGGAATATTATTTCTTAATTTACTACAAAACTCCAAATGGTTTCTTTCAAAAGGGACGGAAGAAGTACCACGCAATACATTATTTATAAATCTACAACAAATATAAAATAGAACTAACACTATTTAATACTTTATACAATATGTGTCGTTTCTTATTTTTATATGATATCTATAATATTTTATGTTCTGATTGGCCCAACCAAAACTATATTGATAAATCCCCAATAAGCATTCTAATCGAAGCACCTAAATGTTACCTTCTTCATCTAATTTATTTTCTGCTCTTTAATAAACATATTATTTTATTTTTAACTTTGGTCTGAAATAACTTTATACATTGTAGTTAAAAGGTTAAACGAGAAAAGACTATGAAAATTAAGAAAGAAAAAAAAAAAAATTGTTAAAGTTTACAAGACATTTTAAATTTAAAATAATAAAAAAAAATTGGTATGAGATAAGTATAATTATAAGAGCTTACTTGAGAAGATGACTATCAAATTATACATCTCTATATAAAGGTGCGAAGCACCATAATTCCAAAGTATTTTTAAAATATCCATAAATAATTATATGGCACACTTCGTTTGATAAAAAAATCTTTGAAGTCCTAAATTATTTTTGAAGATATTAATAAATGAAATATTTAATACGATGCTTTAGGAGAAAAAATTTACATTAAATTTAATAATTATTAAAAAAAATACTCCCTTCGTCCTATAACTATGTATCCGTTTATTTTTTGTACGAAGTTTTATAAATATTAGTATCATATTGGAACATAGTAGAAATAAAGTAAAAATGACTAAAATAACCCTACTAGTATTGTGTGATATAAATGTAATGACATTTGTGTAATATATTGTAAGTTGTAATGATATTTGAAATGAATACTTTGTTGTGAGACAGACTAAAATGAAAAAATGAATACTTTAGTATGGGACAGGGGGAGTATCATTAATGAGTAGTATTAAAACTTTAAAAATAAGTGATACTCCATCCGTCCGTCTCTAATGGTCAGATTTATCTTTTGCGTCGTTGTACTTAACATTCAAAATATCCTTATATTTACATAAATTTTTGTGCAAATATCCTTATATTAGTATTATAAGATATTAATGAAAATATTTCTGCAATTTCTTCTTAATTTATACATACGTTTTAATATAATAATTAATATTTAAAGATCAATACGTAAAAAATAAATGAGAATTTATAGCGGACGGACGTAGTATAACAATAGATTCTGGGTCAAATTTATGAACTTTTCCAAAAAGTCTATCATATGCAAAATTAAATATTAAATATTAACTTATAATAACTAATGATTTATTATATATTTATTTTAATATGAAACTTGAATTTGTTTTTCTAATAGTATATGTAAACAAAGTTATCTTCCGAATATTTTACATGTAATGAATATATGAAGTGAGAATTAATTTGTGAAGACAGGTTAGCCCGGAGCTGTACGGTGACACGAGGCCCAGATTATTCACCTATTGGACGGTATTATATTCTATTAGACCAATTTTTATTTATTTAATTTTTTCAATTCAATTTATTTAAGAAAAAAAAAAAATTAGATCTAATTAATCAGCTTATTATTTTATCTTTTTTTTTTTTTAAAAAAACACATATATAATAAATAGACAGATGCCTATCAAGCTACGGGATGTTACAATCTATTATGTTCCGGGTTTGTGCAAACAAATAGTCGAGTAGCTATTGGCGCGGCCATTTCGCCAGTGTCGTTGGTAGGGGGAAATCAATTCGACATCACAATCCTCATATGGAAGGTATAAATATTTCATCTAAAATAAATTTTAAAGTCATACATAATTTATCCAGTGTGCACTTCAATAATAGTGACTGTTAATCCTCGCACTAAATATCCTTATATTAGTATATGTTTTTTCAATAGTACTATAAGACACTAATAGAAGTATTTTTATTTTTTTTTCTTGATTTATACTATATTTTCATGAGATCCTTAGAGCCGAATGAAGGTAATATTTTTTATTTTTTTATATCATTGTATTATGATTCTTATGATAATAATAAAATTCAATCATGGATAGGATCCCAAGTCCGAAAATTGGTGGTTGGGCTTTGGCGACAATACGCTAGTGGGCTATTGGCCGAGCGCTTTATTCACCCACTTAGCGGATCGGGCCACCATGGTCGAGTGGGGAGGAGAAATTGTGAACTCGCGAACAAACAACGAGCACACATCAACCCAAATGGGCTCGGGCCATTTCGCCGATGAAGGATTTGGTAAAGCAAGTTATTTTCGAAATTTAGAGATTGTTGACTCGGACAATAATCTAGGTTCCCCCGAAGATATAACCACCTTGGCCGAAAACTCAAATTGTTATAACATTATACGTAATTCGGACAATAGGGTATGGGGAGAATATTTTTACTACGGCGGGCCGGGAAGAAATCCGAACTGTCCCTAAGTGTATGTATATATAAACATTGGGGAATATGCACATACATATATACAATTCTTTTCTCTTTTTTTGTATGTACAATAGTTTTGATGAGAATTGGGGAAGATACTAATAAAAGCAACATCAAAACATTGTGTTCAAATTAGTCGATATTTGAATCATAGGCTGTCAAAGTGGATCACATACTGAAATTATTAATTCAGCAAAATTGAATTTGATTTTAGCCTTTAATTTTAATCTTATGTTTTAATTTAAAGATCATTAATCTAAAATTAAAGGGTTTGATATATTTGAGCATATGATCCAAGGTCACAATTTATTAGTTTATAGTGACAAAACTCAACACAAAAGTGTAATTCTTGAATTGATTGACTGGCTGGCCTTGTTTACTTCTATATTTTTAAAGTTTTGGCATTTTTAATTAATAATAATTTTTTTTAAAAAAAATATTATATCAAATATTTATTTTTTCACAAAATATCATATTATCTATTTTAATTTTTTTTTAAAATTTCGAAACTTAATTAGTCTTTATGCCCACTACAAGAAAATACTCCGTCCGTTCTAATTCAAAATATTATTTTTATCATTTTCGTCTGTCGGATTTCAAAGTATCCATTTTCTATTAAAAAAAAATAATTATACACTAACATCTCTTAGCATCATGGTCATGTTTGCAAAAAAAAATGTCAAGTTGCACTAAAAAAAAAATAATATATTTGTAACGGAATTTCGTTCCTAAAGATCACGTAACTAACGTAATTCCATCTTTAATTCCGTTTCTAATATCATTAGTAACAGAAAAAGTGGATTTAAAAACGAAAAAATCTTGTTACAAAAATGATATTTTCTGTAGTGTTGGATGTTGCGGACTAGAGATAGGACTTTCAAATTTGCGCCGGCTTCTTTTCATAATTAGGATCAAAATTATTGTCATTATAATTCCCTTGATTCGATGGCCACGAAGCATAATGACTTCTTACTAGATCTGTGTATATAGTTCACACTAAGAGGTGTGATAAAAACCTTCTTCTTTTCAATTAAGTTCTTTGTTATGAATGGTGTTTCCGTAGCTTTCAATGATTGTTTGAAGGAATTCAACAACATATTGGTTTCTTTGTATCGACATCTTCAATGATAACCATCATACCAGTCTAAAATATTATATTTGGGTCAATTTTTTTAACATTTTACTTTTAACATGGGACATTTAACATAATAATAATAATAATAATAATAATAATAATAATAATAATAATAATAATAATAATAATAATAATAATAAAATAGTAGATTCGATCAGCGGCGGAACTAAAATTTGAATAAAGAGGGCTAAAAATTTTAATATAGCACAGTTAATTTATAAATTTATAGGGATGATTTGATATGACATACCAAAAAAATCATATTACATGGTATAATGTACTAAATTTTTGGTATGTTAAAAAATCTACCGATATTGTATTGAAAATTTGAAATACTGAAAAATCGGTATAATAAATATATATTAATACAATATCAGTTTCATATCCAAATACTGAATTTTTTTAAATAATAATGTTGGTATCAATATATTAAATTATTGGTATATTCCGATACTAAAATATCAAAATTAGTTTAGTATATATTTAAAATATCAAATTATATATAGTTACCATAACAAAAAAAGTTTGATTTGATAATAAAAAAGTAAACAAAAAATTTGATCATGTATACCAAAATTTTTATTAATTTTTAATTTTTTTTAGTATATACTTCATTGTCCCGCCACAGATAACTCTTTCTCGTACCACATAAGATGATCTTTTTCTATTTTTGGTAAATTTAACAATTTTAAATATATTAACAAATATAAATCAATTAATTAAATTCCAAATATTTTACGCATGAAATTTATTCAAAAACTCTTTTATTTCTATCTCTTTTCAATAAACAAATATTTTTATTTGTATTTAAAATCCTATATTTCCTATAATCTTAGTTTATGTTAATTATAGATAAATAAATATATTATTTATTTGTATTATATAAATTTAATGTTCTATAAAATGATATTCATATTATATATTTTATTGAGATATAGTGTTTAAAACATTTAAATACTTATTTTAATTTTTTTAATCATATATATTAATTTTTATTTAAAAAATACTAACAGCACTACTTATATAAAAAATAATAAAATAATATTATAACTACTATAATTAACATATTAAATTATATTTGTCGAATGTAAAACGATCGTCTCACCTAAAAGCTCGAACTTTATGCATATGCACGCAAATGAGGACGGTGGGACTTGAACTCGACTCTGATACCATGTCGGATGCAGAATGACCAATGTTACCTAAAAGTTCGACAATATTATTTAAAATACCATATCCTAACGAATAATCGGGACAGAGAGGAATACCATTTAAAAATAAATAAATTATAATAAAATTCAAGGGTAGGGTCGGGGTAGGAGGCTGGAGCCCCATTGCCTCTACAAAGTTCCGCCATTGCTTTCGGTGAAGAATAATCTGATAGTGTGGAGTGAACTTGTGACAATAAAATTATGAGTTCATATCCTATCATCGATGTTTTTCAAATTTTATCTATCATTCGATAGGAAATTTATCCGCACCTCGTGGGACAATGCATTTCATCGGACATTAAAGTGCTACATGTGCAAAGCACGTGACTCTTATTCTAGTCACCCCCCCCCCCCCCCCCCCCCCCCAAAACAACCGAAAAATAGGGCTGAATTAGTACCAAGTCATAATTGCAGGTACAATTTTCGAATTTCTCCAAGAATAATTGACTCCTAATTTTGCTTATTAATTTTTTTGTGCTCAATTTAATATAAAAGAACACAACTTAGGTGGCGTTGTACAAATTAGTACAACACTACATTTAATTAAAAACGATGTTAATGAATGTAGAAAATTATAGTTGTAGCCATACTTAAACATTATTAATTATTTTTCCTTTGTCGGAAATAATTTTGCTGTGTTAGAGTTTAATGAATGTAGAAATTTCTTTAAGGCCACCCAATATTTGGGAATATGATCAAAATTTTGTTTACTCAATATATATGGTTTATTTACATAATTAAATATGTTTTGAAGTTAGTTTTTGGAAATATTGAATAGAAATTAATTATTTGAAGTGATGTAAATTAGATTATAATGCAATTTAAATGTATGTTTAAATAATAATAATAAAAACATATATTAAATATCTAGTTCTGTAGATTTTTTTTTGTTATTATTTCTTTATATTTATTGATGAATAGGGCAAAAACAAACTTAAAAACAAACAAAAATAATAATAAAGCTGATAAAAAAAAAAAAATGAAAAACATCTTGGACAACGTTAAGTCATCTCTATTATTTGTTCATAGCAAATAGAAATTAAAGATCCATTACAAAGAGACACAACATCGATCAGTGACACTGTAACATAGATGAAGGAAGCAACATAAAATTATAAATCAAAATACAACAATTTGTAGCAAAGAAAAATAAGTGATAAATAAGAAAATCATGAAATTGGGCTGTTTTTCTGGGGCTCACATTTCACTTTTTTGGCCATTTTTCCTTCAATCACAGCTTCGAATCGACGGCCATGATGGTGCTGAGGTTCATGGGATTCATGTATGAATTAGTTCCCCCAAGAATTTGCTGAACTATAATTCTGTTGGCCCTTTCAGATGGATGGAATGGATCCCAAAACACATACAAACTCCGATCCGGACACAAATTAGACAACGGCGTGCAGAGGCCGATTCCATTGTACGGTCCTTGTCCGCAACAAGCTATCTTCGATGTTACAAATCCTGTTAAAAAAAATAATAATAATAAAACAAACCATTTTTGTAGCATATACATATTGATCATGAGCAGTCAATAATGGCACTTGTCCTAAAATCAAATCATAACCTATTGATCCATAATGCATCTTAGCTGGTTAATTAGCAACAATTATTGATGATCAAACAATCAAATCCTCGAATAATGATTAACTTGTTTGTATTGCATTATAGGTGGACTTGCAACAGTTGCCAAAATTAATTATTATGAAACAAGGGTTAGGGTTAGGGTTAGGTTTTTTTTTTTTTTTTTTTTCAATTAGGGTTAGGGTTAGGGTTGGATACCGAATTGTTGTGGATTGGAGATGAAGTCCATGTGCATCTGATTAGTATTGGCTGCAATAAAAACATCTCTCCCGACTTCGCGGTTGAGTTTTCCGAGCATTTTGACAAGTTGAGGGTTGTAGAGGGATGCTGCCTTTTGTAGCTCATCGGCACATTCACCTCTACGGCTGTGCTGCGCCAGCTCGGCTGGAACACATCCTAGTGGCCCCGTCCCGGTTACTATGACCCTACGCGCGCCGAGGTTGTACAATCTCTGCATGTGAATTAATTCGATGTAATCAACACTATAACTAGCTCACAAAATTATTTAAAATCATTCTATATATATTTGTTGGCGCGCATTACCTTTAAGAGCTTTTTGTACTCAGAAATGACATATGGCACGTAATCTTGGAGAGAATATTGGCGAGACCTCGCCGAATATGGAATCAAATAATAATTATTGACAAAATCATTCCCTCCCAAAGTGATGAGAACAAGAGCATCGTTCACAAGCCTCTTGGTCTCGTCTTCTCCGACAATTTCGCGCACTCTTTGTTGGTATTGCTCGAAATATTGCAACTGCTGGAAGGGCCTGATTATATTAACCTACAAAAGTATAGATATACATTAATTATGCAATTTTCCATTTTTCGAACAATGTACCAAGAAAGTTAATAATTAAACCATAAAATACAACTAGTGAATTAATTCTCATGTCCTTGTATAGTTTGTTTTGGTGTTTTGTTATTCTTGGAAATAATAAATAATTTTGAATTATAATAATTATTTGATATAATATAATAGATATTTAATAAAATATTTTGAAATAAAGCAAATGCTCGGTGAAAATATTTAAATGAAATACAACCAATCAAACTAAAATTTTTGTAACCTGGACCCAAGTGATTAATTAAAGTAGTGCTTAATTGTTAAAATGATAGAAAAATGAGTAAGAAAATAATTCTCAAAATGATCGAACTTACAAATTGAACTCCAGTGTCATTAAGTACTCCAACTCCAGCAGAAGCAAAATTGGCTCCAACCAACAGTCTTTGGCCTGTTAGCTCTGGGCTCAAATATGGCATTGTTGGTTCCCAACCCATATGCTCACCTAATCAAATTTCAAGAATTACATTTTAATTAATTACTTTACTATTGGGGAAAATTAAATTAGCATTTTCAAACTAACATTTGGGTACAAGGAAAAGGGTATTGGAATGTCACATTGCTCTTTTAATCCATTGATTGGTAATATATGAAAAAAAAAGATTGGGATGACTTTCAAGATTTTGGAAAAAAAAAAAAAGTAAATGGGAAGAATTTAGAGATGCAATAATTTGAATCTTTATGTTGAAACATACTAATAATATCGGGGATGTTGAGGCCATTGGAGAAACGGCCGGTGGGGCGATGAGACGGGTAGTCGATGCCATAAGGTGGAGCGTCCGCCCTAGCAGTGGTGGCCAAGTAATTGTTGTTGCCATTGTCTACCAACGAGTCTCCGAATATGAAGAAAGCCCGGGCTTCAATTCGAGTCACCCAATGATCACCCAATGCTAAAACAAGGCACAATAACACAACACAACTTTGAATATCCAAAACCCTTGTCATTTTTTTTTTTTAATCCAAAAATAAAAATAAAAAGAACCTAGGAAAATGTAGTAAGTATATAGATGGTGACCCCTTTGGCCTACCAAGAAAAACTTTCAAGTGTTTTGTGATTGCAATGGTGAGGGATACATATATATATGTATATATATAGACTTATTTTTGTATGCATGATGAGGTTAATAAGAAGCCATTAATGGAGTGGTGAAATAAGTGGTTAAGGATAAGTGTAATTGACAAAACAAAACCCTATGTAGAGATTGAATATATTGGTTCATCAAAGTGGACAGTTGTTGGTGAGAAATTGGTGTATTCAATCATTGCTATTATGGTCAAAAGAAACTCAAATTTTGAGGCTTGCTTTAAATTATCTTGCGGCTTTAATTGCTATGCTAACCCTTTTTAATCTTTGATGATGTGTTTCTTCAATTTGACAAGAAATTAAAAACCAAGAAGTAACCAAATTTCGATCATTTTGACATATACATGTCATCATGTGCTTAAGCTTAGGAATTTCAGATAGACCTTTTTTTTTTTTCAATTTTTTTATTATACAATTTTTAAGATTTTCTATAAAAATGTATTGGTTTGCTTATGAAATATCACGTGTAATTACTATTTAAATAAAAATACAAACATACTTGAAGTCACATCAATTTTTATTTAATTTGTATCTTTTAATGTGAATTTGTTTAGAAATAGTCTTGTATATCATTCGATATTGCTCAAATAATTAAAATTTCATGAGTAACGTTCGCTCATACTTATAAAAAGTGATCTATAATATATGCATAAGTATCAAGCATAGAATTAAAACTATCAAAGCAACAAAAAATGATGTAAAATGAACACACATCGCCTACATAAAGAACCATAATTACAATTTTTCTTGTTTCCTTTTACGATCGATGATTTGTATCGTGGACAAGTCACAACGGCAACCAATTTTTCTTATTTGCTCATTATATATCTATATATATATAATAGTACTACATAGTACTCATTTGCAATGAATGAATTTTCATTTAAAGTTTTAATTGATATTGTACCTCAATGTAGGGACCAAAATTGTTGTGAAGATATATAATATGTTGTAGAGAGGGTTTTGATTGTGCTGAATGTGCTCTTGTCTTAATTTTGTCAGGTAATAAAAACTTTCTCACATAATTGCTTTACTTTGATGCAGTTGAACTACCCTCACCTTCACTTCACATGGCTGCTCTACTGTATGTTTACCCTAAATCTAACTAAGTATTGCTCCTATTACTACTAATTGAGCCTATTATGTCTTCTTGAATTATTATTTGTCTCTAATAAGAAGGCATGTATGGGTTTATGTACTTGTTTTCAAGTTTGTTTTCTCACTATTCACAATATATATTTGTCTATATATATATATATGGTTTGTCTAGTATGACTTATTTTGTCGACAATAATTTGCAGATTTTTAGGTTCGACCGAAAGTTTATCCAGTGCACACTCGAATAGTAGTGGAGATAGATTTTCATGTCATAAAAAGATACTACTCCATTCGTCCGTATATGAGTGTCTTATTTACCTTTTGCGTCATTATACTTAACATTCAAAATATCCTTATATTTGTATAATATTTTGTACAAATGTTCTTCTATTAATATTATAGTAATAAGATACTAATGGAAGTATTTTTGCAATTTTTTTTTTTAATTTGTATTGTATTTTGATATAATAATTAATATTTAAAAATCAACATATAAAAAATAAATGGATCCTTAGAGACGGACGGAGGTAGGATATCAAAATTTTATTTTATTTTTTTATATAAAATATATCATGTCAATGATTCAATTAATAATTTGGGACTTGTCATGGGATCCTATGAAATTATATATGGTTTCAATTATTTTTATTTATTTAGGATTCAACCTTGGAATACTTGTACTAATTATAGGATTATTGTGGTTAGATTTGAGATAGCACTCTAATTTTTGCAATGTCTTAGGGCATAAACTTTTTGCAAAGTGATTGTGTAGTGATAGACTTTTGCCTCCTCTTCATTTATTTATTTATTTTGAGTGATTTGTACGAGTAACTTCAATAATGGAGTAGATCATATGCTAAATTTATTTTAAATTTTCTTGTGTTAAATAGTTTAAAATGTATGTTGAACTATATGAATTATAAAGAAGGCATTGAACACATTTAATTTTTTTATTTATTATTGCTGTTAATTGGTTTTTTTTTTAATTTAATTACGATTGAATTATATAGTTTGTTTGGTTGTGGTTTGAAATTAATTTTAAATGAAATGTTAATTTTAATTTTTATTTAAATAGTATTTTGATGTGATATAATATAAAAAAAATAATATATATTTTTATAGAAAATTGTGCTAAATATAGGGTCTAAAATCACAACAAAACACACCCATAATTATAGTATTGTGTGATAATAAGTTACTTACTATTTTTTTGTATGATCCTTCGTAAATATTATAAAAAATATATTATACAATTATTAACCTAATATATACAATATATATTTTATTTATTTATAAAAATTTAATATAAAATATTAACCTTTTTTATATTAACAACGCAATTCTCTATAACTAATATAAAAATGCATTCGTATATAATTCAAAGTGAACAAATACAATATTTACTCGATATAATATAGTTTCAAAATTGTATTGTTAAATAAAAAAAAAATAGCAAATAGTATTAAATGTTACTCCTTCTGTCCCATATTTTGTATCCATGTTATTGTTTAAGTACGTCTCACATCTCATGTCACATTTATTCTTTTTAAGAGTATTATATATTTTAATTATATTTTAAATTTTCTATAATTTATTATTTTTAAAATTTTAATTAAACTAATTAGTTATATTAATACTAATATATAATTATTTGTATATATTATAATTAATTTTAATAATATATTTTAAATTATTTACTAGTTATATTCTTTTCAAATTCTCGTATTTATATTAATTCGTGACACAAAATTTGTCGACCGAGGAAGAATATATTATCATGATATAAAAATATGTTCAATAAAAGAAAAAAATAAAAAATAATTGCTCTCTCTCTCTCTCTCTCTCTCTCTCTCTCTCTCTCTCTCTCTCTCTCTCTCTCTCATGAGTTATGATACATTGTATTTATCTCATCAACTACCTTATGTCTGATATTAGGTAAAAATAATCTTTAGTCATTTATTGATAATCCACTTTGTAGGCTCATAAATAGAGCCCTTAAGTTGCAGTTAACTTTAAATATAAATTTATATTTAGGATTAAATATTTTAAAATACGACCACATTTTGACCCACCAAATTTGGCAGCTCTACCCTTCAAATTTTTCAATATTCTATTAATCTGTTACATATATATATATATAGCTCATAGTTTTTTCGAACTAAATTGCAATCTGTTTTTGACATATTTATAACTACATTAGAACTTTATTACATCAATATGCAATTTCTTTTTCTTAAACAATGTTTGGTTTGTACAGAGATTTTGTAAATGGACTTGTCTTTTCTTTAGGGCACTTTGGTTTTAGATCTAACTTAACCTTTTGGTAATGATGAAAATAATTGATCAGGGAATGAGGTAATATTAATTTGATGAATTGACAAAATTGAAATGATATGCAAGACATGTCACCCAATAATCGATCATAATTGACATACATTTTTATATATAAATAAAATACTTGATGTATTCTTTTTATAATATATATTTTGAAAATATTAGTGAAGACACATCATTTTCTCACCTCTGGCCGTAGATCATCTCGATTGAATTAGGTCAACAAGTTTCACTACAAAAAAAAATGATATATTTGTAACAGAATATTGTCCCTAAAGTTCATGCAGCTAACGTAATTTCATCCGTAATTCCGTCTCTAATGTCATTAGTAACGGAAAAAGTGGATTTAACGACGAAAAAATCTCGTTACAGAAATGATATTTTTCTTGTAGTGTTTTATGTTCTTGTATGATTATTTCCTATTTTTCTTAAATTTCTAATTTCCGCAACAAATCGTTATCTTGATAAATTTAATTTTAGAGTTGTCACGGCTTCCAATTGTCTTTTCTTGAAGCTATATTGATAATTTATGATATATGTTCAATTTGCTTTTGTAATCCTTACTTTAATGTGAGAGAGGAATGTTACAAATATTTTTTTTTCATAATTATTTATATATATATGTATATCTATAAACATATAAGATGGTTTTATTTGTTTATTTTTACATAAAAAAATATATATATATATATGTACATGTCACAAAAGTCGCCTATTGAATTTATTAGTTTTTGTCCGCATTTATTTATTTTGAAAGTTCATATGTGATTTTTTTTATTAAAAATTTATAAATTAAAAAATGGTATGAACAACTCGATTTAGTCTCTTATTGTAAAACTAATAAAAATATGCACATACTGCCAGCGACGGAACTAACATCTAAATTCCCAGGGCAAAATATTATAATTTATTTATTACTTAACTAATAAATTTAAATAAAAAATAAAAATTTAGATAATTTTGGAGAGGTAAATTGTATATAAACATATAAAAATTAATATTTTTAACACTTAAAAAAATCATACAAAATTGGACTTGAGGTCCAAGCCTTAGTGTAGTTCTATCCCTGCTGCCTCTGTTAGAATTACTTGGGTAATAGAACCAGAAAAAAGAGGCACAATTTTAAGAACTAACCTGGGTATGGAAAAATCTAACATGAACTTTCAAAATTGGCCCCAAAAAATTTCGGGCCAGGCCAACCCAATTGAAAAACCATGTTGGCCTGGGCCTGTACTCTTGGATTTTCAAGAATAAAATATTTCGAAAAATTCAGATATGACCTAGTCCGAAGTATCAAATTTTTAAAACATATATCTTCAATTTAGATAATTTTAAAATAGGGTAATAATAATATAGATATCTTCATTTTATTTCATATAATTTTTAATAAAAATATATTACTTCCTTTTATAAAACTATCATGTTACTATTTATTCAAATCAAAACCAAATATATTTATTTTTTTCAAATATATCATTCTTTATTTATTTTTGTGGGAGAGATGCGATAATTACTATTACTATTATTATTATTATTATTATTATTATTATTATTATTATTTCAACCTCGTGAATCAAAAAAAAAAAAAAAAAAAAACCGAAACAAAACAAAACCATTTTCTGCATTAACAATTCGAGTTAGCCAAATGAGTTAAAGCCTACTCTTGTCAATTGTTGTTCCAGCCGTCATAGTTGTAGAGAGATCAATTGGGTGCAGGGTTTGAGAGAGACCATCGGCTTTCACGCACGCAAGAAAATCGGCAAGCAAGAGAGAATTTCTTTAACTCGGTTCCGATCAACGGTCTCGTCATCTTCGAAAGTTCCTTTTGGTATCGTTGATTTCTCACTATTTGTTTGGATTCGATTTTGAATCTTATTGAGTCGGGTGATAGGCCTAGTGGTTTTTCCTTCGCTTTGAAGGAGTTTTCCACATTAAAAGTTTTGGTGTCTCCTATTATTATTTTCGTTGTTTATTGGTGGTTATCATTCATCGTACTTTGACACAATTGAGAATTGATTAAAGGGAAAGGTTTTGATAAAACAGATTGAACACCTTGCTTAAGCGTGACCACGCTTAAACAGTACGTCGAATCTAATTTTGATTTGCATTTTGTTCTTCTTTCGGTATTCTCCCAACAATAAGAAATCTTTTCGAATTATTAAGTATTAATAAAAATATAATTTATCATAATTTAATCCATTCAAAACTAAAATAATTTATTTTTGAATCAATATTATATAAATTATAAAATTAAACAAAATTTCATTAATAAAATATTATATTAACTCTCCATAAGTAAGTATCAATTTTTTATTTTTTTTTTATATGTCGAACTTTAAATATTACTCTTTTTATCCCATCTTTTTGTCCACTATTTATTTTTGTCTTTCTCACTTCATTTGTCATTTATTTTAGAAAATATAATTATACATTGTAATCACATATATAGTTTTTTAATCTTTATTATACTATTTAGTTATTTTAATTTTAATCTATAATTAATTTTATTATACAATAATTATTTTACTAATACACTGCTTAAGCTTTTAAAGAAATGCATCATTAATTTATTTATTCGCAAACGAAAATCCCAACATAAACCAAAGAGATAGGGCTTTGCAAACAATAATATTAAGCAAAAATTGACACATCACAAGGGAACATGTTACACTTATTCGAAACCTCAAACACTCTCTTGCGCATTCAAAAAATAAACATACAAACACAAAATGAAATTCCAATCCATCAAACCTTTCCATCCCACAACAAGACAATCACACACAAGACACTAAAATTAACAAAAAAAAACAAAAAAAACCCCATTGTAGTAAACGACATTTTTTAGAGCCTAGAGTAGTCTAAAGCCATGATTGTGGAGAGATTGAGGGGTTTCATGTAGTTGTTGTCGCCGGCCATTATCTGGCTAACTATAATCCGGTTCGCCCTTTCGGAGGGATGAAATGGATCCCAAAATGCATAAATGTCCCTATTCGGGCACAAGTTCGATGCCGGTGTGCATAGCCCAACACCATTGTATGGCCCTTGTCCACAACATGCTATCTTAGAAGTGACAAATCCTGATCAAAACAAAACCATTTATATATATATATATATTATTTCTCCTTAACCAATATCAAGGGATGATAGAAAACCCTAATAATGTGTTCTTTTGTGAGTTTTACCGTAAGTTTTTACTATTCAGATTCTTTTTTTTCTTTTAAAAATATCAAATCAAACAATTACTTTTCTTTTTTTTTTTAATATTATACTACAAATTTATTTTACATTCAAAACATCACATCAACCTTTATTTATACCAGATCAAACCACTACTCAACTTTTTACTATTTAAAAATTTAAACCCAAAAACTAAAACCCACAAATAAACAGAGACATAGCTTAATTAATTATTTTAGCTTAGAAAGTAAATATATGAATCCCTAATTCTTGTATAGAAACAAAAGACCTTACCATAAGCTCGAGGGTTTGAAATGAAGTCCATATGCATTTGGTATGTGTTAGCTGCAACAAAGACATGCAAACCTATCTCGTGGTTGAGGTCTTCCAACATTCGCGACAATTGTGGATTGAACATATGGGCTGCCCGTGTTAACTCTACTGCGCATTCTCCAGTCCGGCTATGCTGCGCTAGCTCAGCCGGCACACACCCCATTGGCCCGGTACCCGTTACCAAAACCCTCCTCGCGCCTAAATCGAACAACTTCTGCATTTTACAAGTTAGACAAGGTAGTGATTATAAGTAACAAATAATAGAGAAAAATTATATATGTTGTACCCTTGTTTTAACATAGATGTATAAATACACTCATATAAATTTTACTGCAAAATCTTAATTTTACAGAGTGGTTGAAAGTAGAAAAAGACAATATGTCCCGACATTTTGACTTTGCCACTAATTCTATCTACAGTTTTGGCCTACACAAGGGTGAATAACATCACAAAATTTATAGAGTGTTTTGTACATTTATACGTAAGTACGAGTAAGGAATATATAATTTACCAATTTATAAGACATTGTGTCTTTATTGCAAATCATGTAGCATTACCCTTGTGAAAGGATTATAGCTCAAGTGGTTGAGCTATTCCTTGGTATCCTTAAGATCGAGGTGGATCCTCATTGGACATAATAGTGCGAAAAATAATAATAATAATAATAATAAATTAAAAATTGTGAAAATTAAATAAAAAATATATATATATATATCATTACCCTGAGAATTTTATGATACTCGGAGATGAGGTACTCCACGTAATCCGGGAGTGCAAATTGTCGCGATCTAGCGGAGAATGGGATCAAATAGTAATTGTTGACGAAGTCATTGCCTCCGAGAGTGATGAGCACGAGAGCCTGATTAACGAGTGCCTTAGTGTGCTTGGCTCCTATAAGGCTGCTTACGCGAGTTTGGTACTGTTGGAAGTATTCGAGTTGTTTGTCGATTCGAATAATATTCATCTGCAATGTATTAAAAGATCAGTTTACTAACTACATGATGTGCACAATTTTATTGCTATTGTTTTTATTCTTATTTTTATTTTCTAGTACTACAATAAATGCCTTAACATTTATAAATGAGGCAAAAGGGATTTGGGAAATTATGGTTGTACTTTTTAATATTTATAGTAATCATCTTTTGAACTCAAAAATTATATAAACCATTGGACTAGTATTTTCTCGATCGATAGGTATAACCATTTATAGACTGAATATTAATATTGTTTTGCTCTAATTTTAATTAAGTTTCCTTTGTGAACTACTTTCCTTTTATAGTGTTTACTTGTATCTGGATTTCATGTGGAGGCTCAAACTGTACATTTGTTTAAACATGAAATGAAATCATAAAGATTCAATAAAGATTATAGTTGGCTTACTCGTTATACCTATAAATAAAATAACACTTAAATAGTAACAATAAAATACATAATAGTACTGTTTGCTCACTATAAATTTTTTTCATTATTTTTATTATTCAATCTTTAAATTTTTTTTTAAAGAAAAATATCACATCGAATAAGTACTTCAAAGTAAAAATTATCAGAACAAAAACTGAAGAAAATTTGAGGAACTAAACTCATTGCCTTTTAACATATACTATAGAACATTTAAAAAAAATTAAAATAAATAAGCTAAAATCATATCTGCATACATAATAAGAGGAATTATTTAATTTTTTTTAAAAGAAAAATTCCATGTATCAAATTGAACACTGTAAATAATATATACCCTGAAATTAATGGTTTCTTAAGTTAAGCTAGAGCATAAACAAATAAACTTATAAAAATTAAAGATGCAAGGTTTAGGGTTTGAAATTTAGAGTTACGAACTTACGAACTGGATTCCAGTGTCGTTAAGAATTCCAACCCCCGCCGAAGCAAAGTTAGCCCCAACAAGAAGCTTTTTACCCTTGAGATGTGGGCTCAAGTATGGCATTGTAGGTTCCATCCCAATATGCTCACCTGATGAAATTAATTCAATCGAAAAATAAAATAAAAATAAAGAATTCAAACTTATTTAAATGTATGTGTTAACAATGATTTTTATAGAAATTATTTTTTAATGGAATATAATTATTCGATGAGATTAATTTTTTTTTTTAGGAGTGGAAAAACAAATAGTTTACTATAAAGTATATAGTACGATAACAAAGTTGAAAACATAAATAATATCATAAGAAATAAAGAGAAGTGTCCACATTGCTAACGACGAGAATAGTTATCTTGGCATACTAATGATATCAGCAATGTTGAGGCCATTAGAAAAGCGTCCGGTGGGGCGATGAGACGGATGATCAATGCCATATGGAGGGGCATCAGCTCGCGCGCTAGTGATGAGGTAGTTATTGTTGCCATTGTCGACAAGTGAGTCCCCGAACACAAAAAAAGGTCGCGCCTCAGTTCTTGGAGCAAATGCAAGCAGAGTTAGTGTTAGAAATGAACATAGTGTAGTAGCAGATGTAGCGAAGAAGGATGATGAAGATGCCATAGTCGAAGAAGCTCGACAATGACTGTGAACCATTTAAATCAAGGCTTTAGTGTGGTTTGAGAATTGGCCAAGTGAATAGCTTCTTATATAAGGTCTCTCCAATGGAGTCTACTTGAAAACTAGGGGTCTAAAAAAAGCATTGGTGCAGTTATGATTCACTTCTTCAAAAGGAAAGCAAGTTATGCATCATCACATACAGTTAGGCTGTTGGGATTTCTATATATTTATTCAATTTTTTATTTTCGATGAAATTCCACAATTCGTTTGGTTGCAGTGATTAGTGTTAAATTAACGTGAATGATCGTCTCACTTGAAAGTTTAAACTGTTAGGGATATGTATTAATCTACAAACGGGAGTCCACCAATACACCCCTTCATGTGCAAGGAGATAAACATCACCAAATGAAACTTGCACATGGACAAAACCTAAAACTCTGATACTATGTTAGATTAACGTAAACAATGGTCTCACCTAAAAAAATTTAAACAGTTAGAGATACGTATTAATCTACAAACGAGAGTCCACCAACAATTAGGGTTAAAGATAAATACTTCATCAAATTCATTATTTTCTTCTGGCAATGTGATAAGTTTCAAACATTTTCAAAGTTGGTAGTAGATTTCAAATCTACCTTCTTTAATCTTTCAAAACTCTTAATATTATGACAATTCAAATATTTCTTGTAGACTTATTTATATAAAATCCATTCTCAAATATTCAGATTCATCCAATCAAACATGTCCTAAATTAGAGAAAATAAAGGAGTAAAAAGCACTATAAGGTGTTCTATTGGTTATTTTTGTGTGTGTTTCATATTTTAATATTTATTAAGTTAAATAATTGTCTGATATAATTTGTGCGAAAAAATTAGTTTTACAAGTGATTTTTTTGGGATAATTGTGAGAGATTTCATAATAAAAAATTTGGAAAAGATTTCAGAAAAAAAAAAAAAAAAAAAAATCTTGAAACAATAAATACAATTATACTATGTATAGTAAGAAATATTTTTAAAAATATTTTTTATTATTAACTTTGAAAACATTAAATTCAACACATTCAAAAAAACAATTAAGTTGGTTTTGTATGGATCCATATTCACTGCATTTTTTTTAAAATGACATTTTCGACCAATTGAATTGCATCTTTTCTTTTTGAAAAATCCATCAATTTCCAAATTTTGTTCTTTTCGATATTTTTTATTTTTCATCATCCATAAAATTTCCTCGTATTTTTCTTCTTTCACTACTTCTTTTAAACGCTGTGAATCACAACTAAACAATACAATGTCATATGAATTACATAAATTTTATTAAATAAGAATGGTACCATATTGGTTGATTCTCTTGTTGTGTTGTGAAGTCCACTACAAAAAAGTTAAAATTTAATTACAAAAAAAATTATATCAAAAGGTAATAAATTTGTAGTAAAAAAAAATATTTTCGAGACGAAATGGGTTTCGTCACCTATACCACGTTGAAAATGGAACAAATTTGACTTTTGTAAAGAAAAATAAATTTTTTGCACGGAAAGTTAAGAAAAGAGATACTCTTTTGGTACAAAAATAAAAATTCATAACAAATGAATTTTAACAACAAAAAATTCTTTTTCTATGAAAATGACTGACTCCATTCACGCAACGTTTGTTTTCAAATGGATTGATTTTTATTTTTTTTGTGATATGAAAAATTGTATCAAATATATAAAATATATTATTTTAAATTAAATATTTGACTTTTTATAACGAGTGTTTGAAATTTTTTTTTTTACTTTCTTTATTTTTGTAAAAACAATTCTATTATTTATTATTAGTTTTTGGGAATCGCAGTTTTAAATTTGTGTTGGAAGAACAAATTGAGTATTTTCTAAAAAAAGAATTTTAGTAACAAAATTAATTTTATAGTACATAGTTTATTTTTAGCGACAAAATTATTTTTATTGTTGCATAATACATTTTAACTACAAAAATATTTTCATAGTTAAACTACATTATAGATAATTAGATATTTTTTTTTGTAGTGTTGGGATCTTTTCAAACACTTTGGATCATAGATCAGTAGGGTGTTTACTCAAAATACCTATATATATTTGCTTTACTCTATTTGAAATTAAGATCGAAATATACTAATAAAAATATTTGATTTGATCGCTCTTAAACATGAGTTCGTCAAATTGATAATAGTCTATTGAGGTGATGGCATTGATAAAAGTTGTTCAAGCTCAATAGAAGCTTATGTTGCCAACATCTCTTAAAATTTGATGAAGCTTATATAGTTGATAATATTTTGACTTATCGCTATATTAAATAAAGATTGATGTAACAATGTAACAATGTCTTCTTACTTTTGAGTAGACTCTATAGAAAAAATAAATAAATTATCAAGTCAATTTAAATATATATATATATATATACATATAATTTTGACTAATAAATTGCAAATTTATTTTATCAGTAAAAAAAAATTCAATCAAAATTTTTTTGAATTTTTTTACAATTTGACTGAAAATTTGTAAAAATGTTTGTCAAAAAAATTTTCAGTCATATTTTTTTTTATAATACTCCTTTTTCATTTAGTTTTTTTTTTTTAACAATTTTGACTAATAAATTGTAAAATTTATCAACGATTTTCTTTATTGATAAATTGTTAAAAAAAAATAAAAAAATAAAAATTTTGTCAAAATAAAATTTTAAAATTTGATCAACAAGGCATTGTGACAAGTCCAACACCAGAGGATTATTTTAACGAAAAACTTTTAGTTGCAATACTATTACCGGATCCATTTCTAAAATGATAAGTAGTAATGTTGTGAAACTAAAAAAAAACAGTTCGCTCTCAGTTTTATTTTCAATATTTTTTCTTTCCGGACCCCTCAGCAAGAATTCATTCTTTAAATTTTATAATCGCAACAAAAAAATTCATCCAAGTAAATTTAGTTTTTATTTTTATTTCCACATTATTATTTATATATATAAATGTATATTTTCAAATTTTTGTTCTTTTTTCCAATTACTTGTATTATATTATATGTTATTAAAATTCAAGTAGTATTTTATTTGATATTAATATTTTTATTATTTATGTTTTATTAAAGATAAATTACATTTAATTTTTAGTATAATTTTATATTATTTATATTGTGTTAAAGTTTGCAACTATATTTTATTTACCAATTCAAATTAATTTTTTTATTGTTGATTTATTTAATAAAATCAATTTATATTTATATTTTAAATTTTAAATTAATAAAATATTTAATATGAGTATTATTTTATAAAATATAAAATTTTATAAATTATTTATATACCGCATGAAATACTAAAGTATAGTTATGAGACAATTAAGACATCATGGTAAAAATACAAATATTATCATGTGATAGATTTGTGGTAATCAACCTTCAAATTCTTCTTTTTCGAATATACTTTTGGTCAATGTCGAAGCTTGAAATCGATAAAACATAGAGATGAAACCACCAAGTTTGAGAGCATTTTGGATAATTTCTCTCAATAAAATACCATAAATTAATATTTAAAATATTATTATGAATTAAACATTAAAAATAATAAAATATTGAGTTATACTTGTAAAATTAAAAAATAATATAAAATGATATATAAAAGAGAATATGTATGAAATATTCTTTTGACACTATAAAAAATAGAAGATATAGTTGGAGATGAATAAAAATAGAAAAATATACTGTAAGAGATTGAAGATGGTCTTACAATATAAGAGTATTTTTATTAGGGATAGCAATGGGTAAAGACTCGACCCGAACCTGATCCGAACCTGACTCATTATTTGGGGTGAGTCCAATTATTCGGATATGAGTCGAATATTGCATATCCTTGGTTCGGATTGAGTCTCGGATCTAAGAGTAGACCCTATCCGAACTCAATTAATCTATTAATAATATATCAATTATGAAAAAATAATTTTTAACGATATAAATTATATTAAAATATTTTTTATTTAATATATTTGTTTTTATTATTTTATTATAATATTTTTGAATAAAAAATATATAAATTTTAATATATGCCAAATTCGGGTCTAATAAAAAAAATTAAAATTATAAAGTGTAATAGTTTCTTGTGGGTCTATCGGATTTATCGGATTTTTTGTCGTTTTTTGTCGGGCAATGTTTAAGTTGGATCCGAATATAGTCGAATCTGAGTATAGTCGGGTCTAATTCAGATCTCAAGTTCAATAATATGTGTTTGGATCGGGGCTCCGGTCCGACTAGATTCGAGGCATACCCAACTCATTGATATCACTAATTTTATACTTTTTAGAATTTGATTTTTTTTTTAATAAAATTTTGAAATGACTGCTCCAGTAAAAAATTAAAATTAAATTTATAGAAGAATAGTTTTGTTCTTTCTCTTTTTTCTCTCATGGTGTTTAAAAAATATTAATATACTATAAGCATTCATTATTTATAGGGTAAATTATTTTTTTAGTCCCGTAACTTGACCCCTTATCATTTTAGTCTCGTAAGTGGAGTCTGTCACAAACTAGTATCATAAGTGAAAATTTTTTGTTGTTTTAGTCCTCCGGCTCCAGAAACGCCTGCGTGGCTCGCCGGAAACCACATGTCCGCCAGGTGTCCCGCCAGGTTAACGACATCTGGTGGGCATGTAGATTTTATTTTATTTTATTTGTTTAAATTTTTTTCAATTTGACCAAATAAAAAAAATTAAAAAAGGCAAACAAAATTAAAAATCAATTTTTAAAAAATGAAAAAAAAAATAAAAATAATAAAATCCACGTGTCCGTCAGGTGTCGCTGACGTGGCGGATACGTCGCTTCCGGCGAGCCACGCGGGCATCTCCGGCGCCGAATGACTAAAACAGCGAAAAATTTTCACTTACGAGACTAATTTACAACAGACTTCACTTACATAACTAAAATAATAAGGGATCCAGTTACCGGACTAAAAATAATTTACCCTTGTTTTTATATGATTTCTTACATGATTTCTTATACTTCATATAAAAAACATCTCTTTTTTAATATTCTAACAAAACAAAAAAT